TTATCCCTTTATCCCTTCAAACCTATGGGTTCCTTTTCTTTGTATTACCTTTCCCTCGAGGTATATTTGTATTGTTGTTAGCTTACAGATGCAGCTGTTCTTATTTATTTGCCATCCCTGTTCAGCAGACTCTCTATCCTTCCATCTATTTTTTGCTCTATCCAGACAGGATCCTTTCTACCAAACACACTCACTGCTGGAGATGGGAATAAATCCTTTTCTCCTATTAATTTACCAGGCATTTCTCATCTTTACAATCAATCTGACCCAGATCATTTGTTATGTCCAGTCAGAGCACTTTGATGTTCTGTGGCTTGTACGGGACTGTTCAGAGTCCCTAGGAACCAGCTTTTTATTCTTTGGGATCCTGTGGTGTCCCGGGATATATCACCCATTATATTATCAGGGGGCTTTGGAAGTTGATTCCTATATCCTATTTGGGGTTATCTGTTGAAGATCAAAATATGCTCCACGTCACTTCTCACCAGATTTGGCATCTATCAATGTTATTTGCTGCTCGTCTGAACTATTCAATGGGAAATCTATAGCCAGTAGTTCTCACCATTTAAGCATAACAAAATGAGACCTTATTTCATTGAAAATTATTTATGTATGTAAAAGTACATATGACATTTTGTGAAAAATCTGTACGTGATGAAGAAATATGGACATCATATTTGGATTCAGTGTACAGGAATTACTGTAGAACATGTAAAAATTTCAAGACAATAAAACCATCACAGGTCTGTGATATTTGGCCCACAGTATTGAAACCTTTTAAGAGCATTACCAGGTGTAAAAAAATTTAATGTACATATATGGTAATTTTATCAGTACACTTTTAGTCTAAATTTTTCATGTTTTTTAGAGTCAAATATATTGCTGGTTTTAAACCAGCTTTTATATTTTGAAAATACTGCAAAGAAAATTTTATTATGGTGAACACAAATAAATCTTGTTTAGAACAGTCCAAATAATTAAAACTCGGCTCTGGGTCATATGTACAAAATAGAATGTACTATGAATATGGAACTTGCTTTATAGTTACTTAAACATACAAATTTTTTTATGGTTAATTGAAGTATTAAGTAAAGAGATGGACAAGTGAATGTTTCTTTGCAAACTACTCAATATTAAAGATTAAATGTTATTTTAAAGACAGTGATACAAGTTGTTATTATTACAGGCTAAAATACTATGCACCAACCTGTGTAAATGTGTGGGATGCAAGAATTTTGAAGACAGTTCAGAACGAAAAACATTGATGCACTTGGCTGATGCTGCAGAATTCCGTGTTCAGCAGCAAGCAGTGGCCAAAACCAAAATCTCCTCTCAGTTACAAGATTTACCAATAAGGCCACCTATATCAGCCTCAGGAGAAAGGTTTTTTTCAAGCTTTTATAGTCTATGTGTTATATATATATATATATATATATTAATCTCACTGTATGTATTTGTTTAATGGATGAAAGTTGGTTGTACAAAATTCTCCCGTGTCATACTGCAAGTCATCTTGCTCATGCAAAATGTTTACAAATTCATCCTCAAAGTACATCAGTTTTTATAGAATTATTGAAAAATTATCTATAACACAGAAACTCAATTCCTCTTTTATTTGATCTTTCAATTTGTAAGTATAGTGCTAGAGCAAATACAATGAAAAATAGTTAAAACTGCCTTTGTTATAAAAAATATCTTGTTACCCACTTAGTGAAAACAAAAGATGCCATGTTAACCACCAGAGTTAATATTTTAGTAAAAAATTGATGTAAGAAAGTGATTTTACACTAATGGTACTACTGCATTAAATAATATTTTATTTAATTAAATAATACACCTAAGAACACAGAATAATAACACATAAAAAGCACATAATTATGAGATAAGAGCTGTTAAACATTCAAATAAGTTCATCGATGTATTTCCTATGGGAATAAAATTTTAACTGAAAATGAAATAGACAATTCTGTGTACAGAAACAACATAATATTATACTTCATTAGATTAAAAGTTCAACTTTCTGTCGGACATAAATACTATATTAAACGTCGGAGAGAATTATTGGCAAGTTGTGAAAGAGAGAGAATGTTACAGGTGGGCATGGCAAATGGGTCTGATTTTATAGTTTATGACTCCATAAACAAATAAAATTGAAGGCTATAAAAATCATGCTTTGTCTGAGTAATAAGTATATTATAATGAGTAATATAATATACTTATATTATTCATTATAATATACTTATTATAATGAGTAATTTATGTTGAATTCCATACTTCTTGGATGGTTGGTAAATAAATTGAGAGCAAATATCACAATTTTCATACTAGGGGAGATTAAGGAACTTAAAGCTTATATAATATGAAAATTTGATTATATTAACTACATTTTGATACCAAATTCATTCATATATCATGATGATAAAATAGTTTAATTAAATTTTGAATGTAACTCTTTAAAAAGTTGTGATCTGCACTTTGACCTGCTCACTGATGAGAAGGTTAATTCCTTTGGAACAAGCTAGGTGTCATCCTAACATTTGAGTGATTTTAAGACAAAAAAAGAAAATGAAATTTCTTAATGATTGGGACAGTGATTATTAAGTATGTAGAAGTAATAACATTTGTTTCATATCTGTAAGTAAGTATTCCTTTAAAGGAATGGGCTGTGTAACTTCTCTCTATGTATTTTGCTGGTAAGAACATTTAAATCTGGTATAAAGTCCGAGGGGAATAAATTCATTAAATCCTATGTGCTTCATTAGTTATCTATAGATAAAACTTTAATTCTGGCTTTTTAGGTTTACTTTCAAGGTTATTTAATTTATCATTATGTATCTTCTAGTATGATATTTTCTTGATGCTCTGTTTTATAGTAATATTTTTAAGTCTCTTTGAAAAGCTAAAAAATATAAGTTAATACCACCTCATGCCAAACATTGTGTACGGTCAGTTATGCTCACAAGTGATTTCTACCAGCAACAAAAGTGTTAAGTTCTGGGCTTCATTCATTATATTACAGTAAATAAAATTCCTGTTAAATCTTTGGTAAATAGTTCTGCAATTTTATTTTATGCAGTATTTTATGCTTCTTTTATTATTTTACCATTAATGAACTTCCCATTAAAGTTTAGGTGAATATTTCTTTACTTTTATTCTATGCCAATGTATTCAGTAAACGTGAACAAGATTTTTATCAGCAAGAATTTTATGTTCAACACTTTATTTTTGTCTTAAAGGGAAAAAAAAGGAAAAAGCTTTTATTGAACAGCATGACATAATGTTGTCTTTGATTCAAATCCAGTCAAGTTAATGCTTAAATAAAAGTTTGGATATTTAGCTATTACTAAAATATTCCAGTGGTAGATGTTGTTAGTGGTTTGTAATTATTTTGTACCAAACAAATAGTTTAAATGATAATAATTAAGGAAAAAATTGATTAATTGATATACTATAAGCAACAGATTTTGAAGTATGTTGTTTAGAAAATATGATGACTTTCAGTTTTTGTATACTGATCAATGTTTTAATTGTCTGAAATTCTGTGTAATTGTTTTCTGGTGCAAATTTTTTGTTCTAGATTTATCTCATGCTATAATGTGGTGTAGAGAATAACTTAAAATAATGTTTTCAACTCAGTTTCAACCAATGTTTTGAGATGAATCTGTACAGAAAATGTGTCATTTTAGTGAAGCAATTTATTTTTTACACTCTTTAATCTATGTGTTTTACTAGGTTTTTAATTATTGTATGTAATAATTGAATGTTTTTATCTTTGCTGCTGCTTACAAAATCCCAGAACTTATTACTTTTTTATTACATTGTTTGTGTTCAGAGGAATTTCACATTAAAATCTTTCTTCAAGTTGATAAGGCAAGGGTCAGAAATTTGGTGAGACCTGCATGATGACTGAACAATTACTTGTTAGCATATTGTGGAAAATGATATTTACTGTAACTGATTAATTGTAAAACACATGTAAAACAAACACAACAATACATTTTCCGAGAAGACTTTAATTTGTTTACCTTATTAAGCCAGGATGTAAGATAGAGAGAGCTATTGTGATCAGAAACAATACAATTGAGTTATAACTAGCCAAATCAACTAAAAATGGAATAAAATAATAACTTTTTACCAATTTACCCTATTATTTTTAATACTATGATTTCTGTTTTTTAGACCTCTGTTATTAAAACAGTTAACAATACTTATGTTAACTAACTTTTTAATATTTATTGTGTAATGGATTATTTTGGAGATGTAGGTAGTCTCTTCTCATATTTTTTATAAATAGTATTTTTCAAAATACTATGAATATGCAGTTTTTAATACATGAGAAGAATAAGCATCACACTGAGAGGTTTGGAAAAGTGGAAGGTTTATTACCAATCAGCTTAAGTTTATTCGTATATATTTACTCATTTGAATAATAATGTTTTGGTTCTGTACTCATGTTAACTATAGGTACTTTTTTTTTCTTATGCATTTTAATGTTCACAAAAATTCAATTTAATGGAAAATCAGATCTTGTTCTATATTCAAATTCCTGCTCACTGAGTCAGACTTGGGCTAATGACAAGTTTGGACTTGAACTTAGCCTACCTAATTAATTTGGCTAAAGTAATAGCTTTTATATTCAACTCCCATGGGGGCTTCACAAGTTAAAACATAGACACTCAGTCCACCCAAGCATTAATGTTTGATATGCATAATTTATCTCTAACATAAGTCTTACCTTTTATATGGTTTTTTATGCTTTAAAATAAAGCATAAACTAACTGAACTAACTGAAGATTATAAAGAAATACCTACAAAAATGAACACCACCCAAGCATTAATGTTTGATATGCATAATTTATCTCTAACATAAGTCTTACCTTTTATATGGTTTTTATGCTTTAAAATAAAGAAAAATATATCGAACATTTTAAAATCTTTATATCCATAAATTGTTCTGAAAATCATCTTTAAACTTCAATTATGCATTAAAGGTTTTTTCAAGTTGAAAGATTTTATTTCAATACTATGACAGTCAGACATTGTTTACAAATTTATATATGTCTGTTGTAAATGGATCTAAATTGGTTGTACAGTATGTCACATAGCAGTTCTAATTAAATAACATTTCAAACTAATTGAAATCATTCCATTATTTAAATACACTTTGACATCGTGTAATGAGATGCCTTGTAATAAAGACTTCAACATTCTCTGATCAGCAGAGAACAAAAGAAGGTAGCAAATAAAAGAGACTATGAATCAGACATTCGTAATCAAGTCTTAATGATACCTTTTCATCTTTTTTGATATGCTTAAAATTATAGGTATTTTTTTAAATTATTGTTCTTGGCTCAGTTTAAGATTAATTATCATTTAATATGCAATTGTTCAAATAATCTGCAGACATTTAATTTTAGAAAATTCTGAGTAAGAAAAAGGAGGAAAGTAATTAATTTTGAACTGTGTTTTGTGTAGATTACCCTTCTCCTTTGTGAAACAAGAAGTCATAGAAGCAACGTGCCACTGTTTGCTAGCTCAAGCTTCTGATGGAGAGGAATCACAGTTAACATATGTGGAACTTGAAAAACTAGTTGTAAAAGAGTTTGGGCGATGCTTGATGCAGATAATAGAGACTGCAAACCAAACAAAAGGTAAGCTTGGATTGTTAATATTATTATTATTATAGTTAGTGTTGTAATATTACTTGACTTTTTGTAAGCTTTGAGTGCAGATTTTGTTAGCATACTTCTTGGTCTGTCCATTATTCACATCAAATTAAAATTAAATACAAATAGCATTTTAAGATTTTTTTTTCCATCTCTACAGGTCACTGCCTAAAACTTTTTTAAATTGGAAAAGAAATCAAGATAACTCAATTCCAAAACGGTTTTACACCCAAAGTTATCCTGATCCTGGTTTGCCCGATGGTGTAGAGCAGTCACCCGATCAGCCCATGTTCTGAAATTACACAAAACTGATGGGGTATAAAACTGGTGCACCGTAGTGAAGTTATTTTTAGCAATGTTTAAGATGTACTGGTGTAGCAAGCTCCCTCTACTATTCTAGAACAATCTGCACTTTTTCAATTGTCTTTTTATTGTGTAGATGTGTGTTTTAACTTGCTATCCATGTGACTACAAAATTTTGATTGTGCTTGATCACAAACTTATCAGTTTCAACTTCAAGTTTTGACTTTTTGTGTTTGATTTCCATTGTTTCTACCCATTTGTTTTAGAAATATTTCTGTTTTCTAATTTGTTCATATGCATTTGAGATTTAATATGGCAGATGATGAAATTCCCATGACCATCGAAAAGGGTTCTGACATGAGGTTCCCCAGATCTCAGGGTCATTGGTGTCTGCTGGGAAAGTACAGGCTATAGTTCACGGGGAGTTCATGTCTTACGTTTAGCCAATGATTTCTTTCTTTCTCGTTACTATTTTTTGTGTGAAAGGATTTAACTACTGAGTGGAAGTTTCTTTCTATGGAACCCTACACCTGCTACTACACCTCAATATAATCTCATGGGTTAGGTATTGTTCTTTTTCCCAGGAGATATGTGGTAAGTTTTTCATTATGTATAACTCACTCCCAATAAGTATTCCCACGTTTAGCGAGTTTATGCGATCTTGTGTGGATTGACCTAATTTATTCATGATATAATTTAGGTCTTTTAGGTCTCTACTCAGTATTTGGTAAGTTAGATATTTATATTTCTTTTACCATCTAAGTTACTTTAGTTTCAATTTGCATTTAGAGTTTGGTTATTACTTTTTTTTTGTTTTTGTTTAGGGAATTGTAACTTCGGCCAATTTTATCAGTGTGTTGGTTTGTTATTTATACTTCCTTTCACTGTTTATGTTTGTTAGTTTGTAAGTTCCTTTTTCTTTACTACTAGTCACATTTAATTGGGGATTATTTTGTTATTGTTAACTGGGTGCCTTTTTATTCTCATGTTCTTCAAAGTAGGTTTTACTTTTGTGTCCTTTGTATATATTTGTCTCTTTTATCTTCAGAATTTCTTTAGCAGTTTTGTACTTTAGGTAGTATTGTTTTATGTTTTAGGTTGTATTTCATAGTTTTGCAAGTTTATTATGTTTATGTACTTTATAGACTCAACAAATTTCTAGGTTTTGTTAGTTCGTTGGTAATGAGTACTTTCTCTGAGTATGTTTTCTTTATGTGACTTTTTGGCTACACTTTACAACAGTTCTGTGCATTCTATTTGTCCTGTCTAAAGGTTTCTGCTTCAGTCCCCCCCCCCAATCCTACTTCCCAGATCTCCTTCCCTCCTCCTCAGGATTGTACCTCTTCCAGTCATCTTGCCTAGTCTGTCCAAGACCTATTACACAAAGGGGCTGCCGATTATGGGGTACCCACTTAACTGGGATTTTACTCCCATCTAATTATTGTCCCTCAAAAGACAGGAGATTGGAGACCTGCCCGGTTGAACTCTTATCTGGAGCCACTTTGCTTCACCATGGAGTCCTACTTCTCACTTTGGGGAGTTTTTCCCAGGAATCTGATGACCAATTTGTCTTCATATTCCAACTGCTCCAATATCATGTTGTTTTCTTTGGTTCATCCCTGAGGGTTGTGTCTTTCAGTTCTGGGCACTGCCATTTAGTCTTTCTTCAGGTCCGTGTGTTTTGTCAAGTGGTACACTCTTTTGCATGTCATTTTCACTTGTGGGGTCTATGTACTCCACTTTTCACCACGTTGGCCAAGGGATATGGAGCGGGCAGTTTCAATGGCCCTACTATTTCCTTGTCTCACTGCATGAGGGTTCTCTCTCTCTCTCTTTTAGGGATGTGGGCTTCCTTGGAAGCTCTCATTCCCTTGAATCGAGCTCACATGCTTTCCCTTCAGTGGATGCTTCTCAACCATTGGAACTTTTCCCATGATCCCTTGGACCATCCCATTACCCTTCCCCCAGGGATCAGGGTCGTCCTTGCTTTGTGGTTCCCATACCTCCTCCTAGTCCGGAGTCTCACCTGTTTACCAATGCTTCCTTGATGGGTTGCAGAGCTTTCCTTGATTCCCAAGAGATTTCTGGTTGATGGGTTGTTGAGGAAGGTAATCTCTGTTTTCAACATCCTGGACCTTTTTGTAGTTTGTCAGGCTGTGTAAAATTTCGTCCCACTTCTGAGTGGGTGGGTGGTTATGGTTCATTCCAACTATTCCATTTTTGTCAGCTATATCACAAGTAAGGGGGAACCAAATCCAGATCTCTGTGTTTTCAGACTCTGGATCTTCTTTACTGAGCCCATGACCACTACGTGGCGATCTTGGCATTTCACATTCCTGGCATTATGAATCTTGTGGCCAATTACTTATCTTGACCAAACCAGGCCTACTCTCTGATCAGACTTCTCTTCAGGGGTCTTTTCCCTTATCCAGACCACTCCTTGTCATGTCCTGTTCATTACTCCTTATTGATCTGCTCAGACATGGTTCCCACTTCTCTGGCCCTTACTGGAGCAACATCCACGCCCCTACCTCTGTCCCAGTTTCTCCTCTGACTACCATGATTGGACATAGATTATTCCGACTTCACCAAACTCCATCTGCATTTGAACCCAATGCTATGTATTCCTTGTTATATATTTCCCTTTAGGTCCTCTTCCTCCTCCTCTTTATGCTATCCTCTATCCTAATCGGGCCTTTCTTCCCTAGACATCTGCTGCATGGGGAGGTGGTTTGGTCTTCTGTTCATTTCTGGATAGACTTCTTTGTCCGGTTCATCCCCTGAGATATTATATGGCTCATGCTGTTTCTTTTCATATTATTGTTCCCATCTATTTGTTCGAAGGATTCCCTCTGTGTCTCATGATCTGTCCCCTATTGCATTCATTGGTTGGGTTCATCAACCCATACGACTGGCATAATCTGACTTGTCCATTTAACGTTGCTGTCTGCACAATGTTTCTTTGCATTCAATTCATCATCCAATTATATCTTTAGCTGCTTGCCTATGCCAGCCTTTGGAGGAGATCATTTAGGCTGGGATGTGGACAACTCCTAATACATTTGTTGCACATTATCTGCATGACCTGGCTGTGTCTTCCTCTGGCAGATATCATCTTTCTCTTGCAGCAATTTTACACACGTCTGTTTGCCTTTGACTGAGGTAAGTAAACATATTATTATTTCTATATATTTTTAGATGATAAATATTGTATTTCAGGATCCCACCTGGTGGTGGGTGTTGCCTGGTCAGATATGCTTTATATTATATTTGCACTAGATATGAATAATTCTATAACACTCACTGTTGAGATGGAGTGTTTCTGTAAGACTACCGGCAGATTATCGGGTGGTATGTGTATCTTTTTTTAAAAAAATAAAAGTTACGAGTTTCATTTATACAGGACTGTCACTCATGGAGCTCAGGAGTAAAGCAGCTGGGTATTTCTTCCCATCCCTACTGATCCATGATTTCTACAATCAGGGTCTATCTGCTTTTCAAAATAGGGAGTCACAGACACTCATTGCACTGTCTCCAGTATGTTGTTCCTCTTGGCTCCCCCAACATGAATCCCCCCCTCTTCTAGTGAAGCAAGGAAGTCCTTATCATTTCTGGTTCCCAGTTGCTGGAGTGGTGGACTGTGGAGGTTTCCTCTTGAGTAGATTTTGAAAAACAAAATAAAATTTCTAGCCCATGTGTACCCACTTAGCAAGAAGAGGGCTTTAGATGTTATCATCCTTATAATACTGAACAATGAATTATATAATAATATTTAGGATCCAAGACACTTCCTTCAGATGTTTTTGCCCAGGTAGACTGCATTTGTTGATCATATATTTCTTTCAAGGCACTTCCACTGGATGTTTTTTGTCCAGATTGACTGCATTTGGCATAATCCTATGTATCCCCCTGGGTGTTGCCTGGGTGGATAGCACTTGCTGATATCTATATCTTATGCAAGGTGCTTCCACTGGATGTTTTTGCCCAGATGGGCTGCCCTTGGCATAATCTGACGTAACTCAAGGTGCTTCCCCTAGATGTTTTTGCCTGGGCAGACTACATTTGGCTTAATCCTGTGTGTCCAAGGTGCTTCCCCCAGATGTTTTTGCCCAGGCAGACTGCACTTGTTCTCAAATTGTTATGCAAGGTGCTTCACTGGATGTTTTTTGCCTGGGTGGACCACACTTGGCCTAATAAAATACATTTCACAGTTCTTATGCCCTAGCCACTTTATGTTCTTTTCTTTTTTCTCTCTAGCTATTTTACTGGCATCATACTATGACTATGTTTGGTGCTACATCTTGTTTCTTACAGTGGCTCATTATGATGTGGATGTGGACAGGGGTCTAGTTATCATGATCCTCACGATCTCACTCGTAACAGTAATTTATATCTTTCATAATCCTACATATTCAAGGTACTTCCCTTGAATATTTTTGCCTTGGCAAACTGCAATTGTTGGTTGCTATATCTTATACACGACGTTTCAACTGGATGTTTTTCCCAGATGGACTGCTCTTGGCATAATCTGATGTAACCCAAGTAACTTCCCTTGACACATACATATAAGGGACAATAGCTGCATAGACATGAGCCTTTCTATGTTTTTCAACACCATAGTGATTCATGTCATAGTTATCCAGCACTTCCTACACTGATGCAGTGCTGTCATTCTCTTTATTGACTTCAGTGATGCCTGTTAATTCAGTTCTGCTTAATCGTGTTACTATATTGGTTGCTGGGCAAAGAGTATACTTGTTCCAGAAGTAGTGCTGTACCCCACTGGTGTCCTTTATTTTTATATTCTAGCACATCTGTTCTTTCTAGTTTTGGGTGAGAAGAGGTAGTATCATTATGGAAGTTAACATTTTCTTACTCTGAAAATGTATTTTGGATAGGTACTTACCTCCTCTCACCTACCTCCCCACTGAAATGCTGGTGTTTATGGTTTCTATCTGCTAATTCTCGAAAGTGAAGATTGTCCTGGAATAGTAGAGGGAGCTAGCCGTGCCAGTATAGATAGTGCAATATGATTGGTGGAGAGTAGTCACATGATCAGAACATGTTCTGAAATGGTGCAAAACTGATGGGAGTATAAAGACTGGTGTGCTGTAGCAAAGTTTTTTTAGCAATGCTTAGAGGGCAGACAAGGATTGAGATACCCTTGGATGAAAGGAGGTAAGTATTTATCAGAAATACATTATATCAGAAAATGTTAATTTTTGAATGTCTGAAATTAAAATTTGAAAGGGTAGAATACTTAGTTTACATAAATATATTTAAACCGTGTAATGATTTATGCCAAGGAAGTTCTTTATAAACCAAAGAAAGTTGTAGTAGTATTTTTATTTATATAAAGTCTGTACTAAAGTATACTATGTAAACACTATAGGAAATTATTTTTTGTGATAATGCAATGATTTGTGTTAAAGTACTGCTTCGTTACCTTGTAAAGATACTGTTTTTAGTAATGCAGTTATTCATGTTAGATTACATTTTTTTAAACAGATTTGAGCAATTATAACAAGTATGCCTAACAGAATTTGATGAAAACTTTAAATCACTTCAACTGTATTTTCTTCACTTTCAGATCTTATCCCAGAAACCTGATTCACTGTGAAGTTAAGTGTAATAAGTCCAGTTACATCCTGCAGAGGAAAATCAAGTGCAAATTTTAGCTAGTCAGGAACATTTCTACGTAATATGTGTGTGTGTATTTCAGTATGGTGGTTAAACAGAAGTGTATTATGTAATGACCACAGCTTTACACAATACTTGTAGGCTATGTGGTAGACCTCCTGTGACCTATAGATGAGAATAATACATCCAGTAGTATAGAGTAAATGTGAATGCTGACAGCATTCTCAGTCAATTTGAATTTGGAGTGAAATATTTGTAAAATATTAAGGTATATGCTATTCATTTAAGTGTGTTGTTGTTTGTACAGTGGCTAGAGTTTCAAGTTTTAAAACTATTGTGTCTATACAACATTAATGTACATATATTGTGGTTTGGGTTTTCCAAAGTGATGGAAATCAGATACATATAAAACCGATAAGTGCCATGGTATTGTTTTAAAACCCACAGTTGTTTATCATGTACTTGTTTCCTCTCTCACAGAAGCCTTTATTTTGTATTGTTTTATGTATGTACTCAACTTCTTATGGTGTTTAGAAAGGAAAGAAAACTGATCTAAAAAAAGGTCTTGTGGTTCACTTGTTGCTTAATATTTATAGTTTAAATCTTGCTATTACTACTATGATGTTTATATTGCAAAATCTAGTAATTGTAGTTTTATGTGTTGCCTTTATTTTGTGAGTAACTATTTCTTAGCACATATTCTAAGCAGGTTAAAAAAAAGAATTATTGAAGCTCGGTTGCTTCAGATCAGTATTGTGTGTTTGGCTTAAAGGTTTGGTCTAATTTTTTATCAAATAATAAAATGAGTGTGATATAAAGTTTTAGTATATACTGATTGAGATAGGTTCCTTAGTATAATCTGTCATTATTGTAAAACACTTAATAATATATTTAATGCTTTTAAAATTTACTAATGTTTACTTTTTTAGTTTTTTATATAAAAACACATGGGTTGAGCTTTTTTCTCTCTTAAGTGCATTATTATTTGTTGCCAGCATGATTTGTAGATTTTTTATATTTTATGTTGAATAATAATTAGAATTTTGAAAGGAGGAAAAAAAAAAGTGTAGAGTATTATAAGATTATTGGTATGTATTTATCTGCATGGCATTTTTGAAACCTGAAATCCATTTTTTTTTATTTGCATTGTGTAGTAACATAGACACATCCTTTTTACCTAAACATCTTGAAAGAACATTTGACACTTTGGAAATCATTTGTAGAGGAGTTTATTCAATGACAGTTTTTGATAATTCCAGAAGTATTCTGCTTGTGAGATGTAGTGTAGACAAGTTAGTACCAATCCTGTTGATCCATGTGGGATTTGATTGAATCTCACATGTGTGGCCAAAAGCCATGGTTTGGCAACCGTTTTTTTTGCTTATATGTAGTGTGAAATGTGAAAAACTTGATAAAGTTCAATCTACTTCAGCAATGATTTCTTCCCAGCCTGAAAAATGTTTTTTTCAAGCTGTTTAAACTCTCCTTTTGTATGGGTCTGAATTGTATAAAGTGGATGGTGTCTGAAATACAATTTATTTTTTATATGGTTTAAGGACCTTTAATTACAAAGTTTATGCCTACCATTGTAAGAAAAAATGTAATATTAGTTGTTGTTTTTTTCATATTCTTTTGGCATCAAGTTTATGTAAAACAAAGAGTGATATAATTTTTTGTTTTGGTTAATTCTTTGTGACTGTTGAATATTTAGCAGCTTTTAAAACAGTATCGGTCATAATTTAAGGTCTCCATGGTTTGTGTTCAGTGAAGTTCTAAATGTAGATTTTTGTTTTTACAAAATATTAAGCCACATTCACCATGATCAAAATTATTAATTTTGTTAATCATTTATATGATACTGTACCCAGTGTGTTGTAGGTACATCGAATATGCTGTAAGATATAATAAAAAAAATACAATGAGGTTTTAAAACAGTTTTAATAATATGCAGTTTTGTTAGAAAATAAGTATTGTGTGGATTTTTTACATCTATACAGCAAAATATAAAATTATTGCTTCAGTTAACCTAAAGTTCAACACAAGCAACTTACCATTTTATAAAGGCCTTGGTAATTCAGATGATTTGACAAGCAGGTTTTTATTTTCTACTTGTTTAATATACATGTATATACTATATATAACAATATATATATATATATATATATATATATTGATTATTAGCAGTGCATTTTATGTATCACTCATATTATAAGAATAAATTTAAAAGAATGACATAGGAAGTGGCTTGCATTAAAAATGTGATTTATCTTAAATTTTAAATCAGATTTCTTTTTGTATATGTAATATACTGTTTTATCCTTATTTAATTTACAGTTTATTATATTTTTAGCTCTGATTAATGTAGAGTTAGTTTGGATTTTACAAACAGTAAACTTTCGTACTGTCCTGAATTAGTTAACTGATACTGGTAAATATATTTCCTAGAAAAGTATTCAATTTATTCAAATATTTTTATCTTTATGAGAAAAGTGCATGTAAAATGTTTTATTGTTTATTACTTCCTTCTTGTTTTTGTTTACGTAAGCTGGACAGATAGCCCCCTGGATGACTCCTTATTATAAAGTATGACTTAGATATCTTTTTTTAACAGATGAGCTGTTGGCTTATCATGATTCTTGTCCACTCGTAAGGACAGATAATGTGCATAAAATTCACAAAATATCTTAACTTGTATGTAAAAGTAGTTGATTACATCAAAGATTTTTTTGATAAACTGTATGTAAGGGTGTACTAAAACTTTTTAAATGAAAGCTTACATAATATCCTGCATAGTACAATTTTTTATTTTTTCACAAAAATAAAATGTAATCCAGGCAGATCTTGAACTTCTGACCTCAACGACAAAACTGGTTAACTATATATGTGTGTATATATAAACGGGCCTTAACAACCACAACAAAAATGCTGCATAAATTAAAAAGATTGCTATGGTACAAGCTATAATGTGGGATATAAGATGTGTCCTTGGTTTTGGAGGTGACTGTGGAACTAGGCCCCACATTGCGGTGGAAATAACCCGTGTACCAGTTTTAACCTCCATTTGCTAGTTTCACAGGTTAAAAAAAGAGGAATAAACATAAAATAAGTAAGAAATCTAAGAATATGTTAGGAGAGCAAGATGTGGGTGCTCTAATCCACAACATTCCACACCTGTATCACCCTTCTCTGCCTGTAGATAGTTATGAGAAGGTAAAATATAAAATGAAAGAAAAACGAAAATTGGGTCCTAACCATTGGGGGTAAGCAAGGCAACCTTACCTCCTGATGTAGGTATTTCAGCCCCCATTATTATATTAAAGGCCAAAATTAAGAAGTTAATTAGTAGTACAGTAAACAAATTATTACTAGTATAGAAATATAAAAACCCAACTGACATATATATATATATATATATATATATATATATATATATACTACCTACTCTACCACCTAATTAATTACTGTATAGTACTACTAGTAACTACTTAATTACTAGTACTTACTTACCTAAGTAAGGT